TCAAAAAACTTTTTCAAGCTTATATATATAGCTTAGGTTGAGAATGCTCAGCTTCACATTCTACCAGATAGTGTACAGCACTCTGTTTTTCCACAATTTTACCAGGACCAAACCATTTTGCAACCAGCTTGTGACTATAGAGGGGTGTTCAGAGTCCTGCCAAAAACCAATTCATTTGGGCTGAATTGCAGTGACTCCTGAAAGGTGTCATTATAGGCAGCCACTAAGTAACAAAGATGTTGCTCCCAGTCTTTATGATAGTCAGTTGAGTACTTGCGGAGCATCTGACCAATAGTTTTGTTCATCCTTTCTGTCCGGCCATTTTCCCAATGACAGTACGGGATTGACAACTGGTGGTCTATCTGGGCTATCTCACAGACCTTTTGCATAAGACCACCTACAAGAGAGGACCCAAAATCAGTAACCAGGGTCTTTGGCAACCCCCAGTGGGTCGACTGAACCAGCAAGGCATTAGCAATGGTCTTAGCCCCGATGTTTGTTAAGGGTATGACCGATAAAAAATGAGACAAATGATCTATAATTGTGAGCAGATACTTCTTCCCAGTTTTCCCAGGGTAAGGTAAGGGACCCAATACATCCACACCCCACTTGGCAAAAACTTCCTCAAGGAGGGCTGGGGTTTGCAGAGGGGCCCTGGGTTTGTCCCTTTCATACCCTTCGAATTGGCAAATCACAGATGATTGTACAAACCCTTTGACAGCCTCATACACATCTCGCCAGTAGAAAGACCTTGATAGCTTCTCTAAGGTCTTTTTCCTCCCAAAATGGCCAGCAAACACGTTTTCGTGTGCCAATTTCAACACCATTTCACGGTATTGCTGTGGGACAACAAGCTGCTCAATTTCCCCATGTGCCTTGGTTTGGCACTGACGATACAAAAGGCCCTGTTTAACAATAAACGTCACCCTGCGATCAGCAGTCGCCCTGGGGTCAGTCTGAACACTTTGCCAGCAGTCCTCAAGGGTTGGATCAGCTAGTTGGGCTTCTCTAAACTTCTCATCACCTTGGAACTCAGAGACAGATCCCAAAAAATCATTTCCCCCTTCCTCGCTGTCTGTGTGAGAAGCAGGGACTGTCAGTTCGGTTGTAGCTGACAGAATGGGGACAAGGAGAGGAGAGCTTGGGGTTTCAGGACTCTGGACAGCAGCCAGCGGGGGATTTCCCCCCCTCCCTGATCAATGGGCACTATTTCAGCCAAGGCAGATTTATAAGCTAAATCAGAGCCAATCAAGACTTTAGCTATACACAGGGTATGTACCAAGACAATAGTTTTACTGTGATAATGCTGATAACTCACGTCAACCTCAGCAAGCCTTCTAGAAACGGCTCCTGACTCGTAAGGAGTCACCAACACTTCCTTAGACAAAAACTGATCATTATGAACCAAGGATTCATGCAGGTGCCTTGGACTTGGAGGGAGACAGAAAAGTCCACTTACAGATACACCATTTACAGTAATCTCATGCGTGTAGTTCTGGCGCACCCAGTCCAGTTGTCCTTGGTCGATGAGAGATGCAAAACTCACCGAGGAGATAGAGGCTTGTGGGCCAGCAGTCACTGTCTCTGGTGCCTCAGATGGCAGGTTCACAGGAGTCAGGTGGGCAGGGTCAGCAGGTTCCAGCTTTTGAATAACACGAACCTGGGGCTTGCTTGAAGCGAGTGGGGTCCCTTTCTTCGCCAGCCAAACTGGGCATGCCGATCGTTTGTGTGAGGAACTTCTGCACTCAAAGCACAAACCAGATTTGGGATCCACAAGTTTCTTGGCTGGCGACGTAGGAGGGGTCTTCCACGTCTCAGCAGAGGTGGGCGGCTTAGACGAGGGTGCCTTGGACTTGGAGGGAGACAGAGGATTCCCAGCAGCAGGGCGAGCAGGCCTTCCATAACCTCTCTCTCTGTGCTCTCGCATGCTTTGGGCGAGTTCAGCGGCATCCTCGAGCGTTTTGGGTCTCCGGTCCCGCACAAGGGCTGCCAGTTCATCCGTCAGCAAGCGGAAGAATTGCTCCTTCAGGAACAGTTCTCTTAGGGAGGCAAAGTCACGCACCCCCTCAGCACTCAGCCAGCGATCCAAATTCTGCGTTAGGCTAGCCGCAGTCAGCGGATAGTTATCAGGAGTAGAATGTCGCTCAACCTTGCGAAAAGACCTCCTGTAGGATTCAGCAGATAAGCCAAACCTCTTCAAGGCTAGCTGTTTAAATTTCTGGAAGTCAGAAGCATCAGGGCCACTAAGGGTCCCTAACAGATCAGCCAGTCCACCAGACAATTGAGATCTTAACACCAGCATATAGTGTTTGGGGTGTAACCCAATGTCTCTGCAGGTCTGCTCATAAAGGGTAAGATATCCGAGCACGTCCTGCCCCTGTTTGAAGTAAGGAAACATCCTTCTATCCACATCCCAGGGGGCAACAAAGTTGGGGGAGGCATTAGGATTATCTCACCACCTCTCTGGCTGAAATCATCAGCAGGCTGCCGAGGCTTGGCTGTGAACAGCTCCCTCTTCTCGTTCGCTATTCTCACAGTCAATGTAGATGTGCTGCGCAAGATGGTCTGGTTATTGGGAGTGACAGGCTGAAAGGATTCCGGAGGGACACCTTGTTGGTCTGAAGCGGCAGAATACAGTTTGAGTCCAGTGGCACCTTTCAGCCCAACAAAGTTTAATTCTTGCTATAAGATTTCATGCACATGCGGAATTAAACTTTGTTGGGCTGAAAGAATGTGTGTGTGTGTGTGCGTGTGCATGTGAGGGTATATGCCTTTGTGGGAACCACTTTATTCCTTTCTCTAAATCTGTATTTTGTTGTGCGATCAGGAAAATGCTGTGAGTTGGATCTGGCGGAACAGGACTTTATCACCTCCCGTGTCCTGCTACAGCCTGAAATGCTTCCTGACATGCCATTCCTGGGGAGGACAGGGGACCTCTAGGAACAGCAAGAGGAACAAGTTGTAGGGCTGTAGTGGAAAGGGGGAATCGGTGAAAATTGACTCCCCTCTTTCATCGTTGAAAATCTTTTGCCAGATCCAGTCCTTTGCATTTCAGATTTCTGTTTGGTTTAAGATTTCTGCAGTCCATTTGCTTTGCTTATTGGCTGTCCCATCCAGTTGATTGTATTGATTTACACTGTTATAATCCGCCTTGAGTCAGTGAGGAGCAAATGAAAATATTTACCAAAACAAGCACTATTTAAAAGTGCAGTATGCCACAGCAGAGAGAGTTAAGGGTTGTACATAGCCAGCATGGTGTAGTGGTTAGGGTGTTGGACTAAGATCTGGGAGACCGAGGTTCAAATCTGTGCTGTGCCATGGAGCTCACCGGTTGACCTTGAGCCAGTCACATGCTCTCAGCCTCACCTACTCCACAGGGTTGTTGTGTGGATGCAATGGAAGAGTGGAGAATGACGTAAGCCACTTTGGTTCTCCATTGGGGAGGAAGGCAGGATATAGATGAAGCAAATTATAATTATAAAATGTGCAATGCTATTGAATTTTTAGGGGCAGTCACTCAGTAAAAGAATCGATCTCTTCATCCCACCGATTATCACAGCGGTGCAGAAGAACGTTGTCAGAAACAGAGCCTTCTATAGATCCTCACCATGAAGATATAGACAGTAAGTTTTGGAGCCAGTGTCTATTCCTGCTAAGAGCTTTTATGCTTCAGTTGTATTTCCCCACCCCCCTCCTTGTGGAGATATTTTTGTTACAGCATCAAACAGTTCTAGGAAAAGTAGTGCAACATCCTGCTTTGCACAGTGAGTAAGATGTGGTGTTAACAGACCCTTTTGTTTATCACACTGCCTTTTGTTTATTTAAAACTTTTAAAAGCTACCTTTCTACCCAGTTTACAGTCCCCAAGGCAGCAAGCAATCGAAAGCATGAAAACCAACTGAAATATATATATATATGTACATATAAACAATTAGAAATGATTACACGAAACATATGAACATGCAGATGTATGAACAGGAAGGAAAGTCAGTGAGGAAATGTTAAAACAAGCTTGAAAAATACACACACGGAACAGTTACAAAGGGGAAAAAAACATTAACACATATGAACAGGAAGGAAAGTCAGTAAGAGTCAGGGAGGGAAAGCCAAAGAGAACAGAAAGATCTTCAGTCACTGGCAGAAGACAGTGCTAGAAGGGAATAACATTCAGATCACAAGATGTCATAGTCCCACTGTACACTGGATTGGTCAGGCCGCACCTGGAGTACTGTGTGCAGTTCTGGAGGTCTTACTTCAAAAAGGATGTGGACAGAATGGAGCGTATGCAGAGGAGAGTGACAAGGATGATCGGGGGCCTGGAGACCAAGCCCTATGAGGAAAGGCTGAGGGACTTGGGAATGTTTAGTCTGGAGAAGAGGAGGTGGGGGGGGGGCGTGATTGCTCTCTCTGAGTATTTGAAGGGCTGTCACTTAGAGGAGGGCAGGGAACTGTTCCTGCAGTGGAGGACAAGACTCGCAATAATGGGTTTAGGAAAAACGTTTTTACAGTAAGGTCCTTTCCGCACTAGTCCTTAAATCTTGGTTCAACCCTATCCCCAAACTTACATTCTACAGTAAATGTGAGTTCACCCCTGTAACTATCATGGGGTATTTTTTATTTCCACGTTACACTGAGGTCACCCCAGTTTTGCCCCATAGTTGTCCCAGGATTAATGGATGCTGTTATAACCAGGGATAAATGGAAGGTATTGTGAACTCTGATAAAACCAGGGATGAGATCGAAGTGCAGAAAGGACCTAAGAGTTGTGCAACAGTGGAATCAGCTGTCTTGGGAGATGGTGAGCTTCCCCTCACTGGCAGTCTGTTTATCTGCTAATGTTAATAGTGGGCGGGGAGCAGGGGAGGACCTGCCGCAAGCCTCAACAAAGGAGCCTTTAATATTTCCTCTGCCCACAAATGTTCACCCTTCAAAGGCCCCTCCCTCTGAACTGTTCCTAACTCAGTTTTTTTCCTAATTACCCTTCTTAGGCTAGCAGTACACCTGGCCCCAGGGGGGCAGGCCATGAGTGGGGGGTTAAGTACCCGACTTCCCAGCCATCGGTTCCTATCAAGACATTTTCTGAGAAAATAGGAGGTCGCTCCAAAGTAGCCTGGGGAGGGGTTCTTTGTTTACAGACTGCAGTTTGCAATAGACGTGTAATTTTTGTGCTTAAAAAATTGCTGAAACAGCTAGGTTTCCTTCACAGTAATTGAAAACACTTTGAGTACAGTCTCCTTCAATGAGTGCAGTTCTGCTTACTTAAAGTCGAAGGCAACCCACACTGGGTACTGGGAAGATTAGATCTATCTTGTGGAAGTGCTGATGGGCCTCTGTTATGAATAATGGCTGGGCATGTGGCCATGACATACCAAGCCAATGTCCAGTGGAAGTTGTTAAGTCTGGGAACCCACTCTGCCATGAGAGTTCCGTGAGTGACTTTGGGCCAGTGTTCTCTCTCAGCCTAACCTACCTCACAGGGTTGTTGTTATAAGGATAAACATGAAAGCTGGTATAGTGATTCATGGCCCTTTCACGTATGCTGGATAATGCACTTTGCAACTGGATTTTACTGTGTAAAATCTACAAAATCCACTTGCAAGTGGTGGCTAAAATGCATTGGAAGTGGATTGAGAGTGCATTATTCAATGTGTGTGTGTGTGGAAGCGTCCTAAGGGACACCCCCCTGTCCCCCATTCGAACCTCACTTTTGCTGTGAACTCAACTCACTAGGTGACCTTATTCGACCCACTGTCTCTTACCGTCAGATCTCTGTCCCCCCACTCTGTCAGATCTTTGTCCCAACTAAGTGGGAATAACACCAACCACAATGAGACAGGAACTTCCCAAATTTGGTAAATGGGTGGGGGTAGGTTGGGAGTACCAGTCATCTTCTGCGCAGTACGATGATACCAGCCCAACCCACCTTGGTCCTACGTGCACTTCTGAGGCATCTGGATTTATGGGGGCAATCTGGACAAATGGTCAAGCCATGTGGCGTCAGGGGTCGAGGCAGATACATTCCTAAGGGGAACATGAAACTTCTAGGAATCACACAAGGGGCACATGAAACTATAGGGATCAATTTTCCTTTACACTTGCCTTCCCTTGGACAGGTCGGGGAAGGCACAGGAAGGCATTTAAATGCCTCCCCGATCCTTCCAGCCCCCCCCCAGCTGGCCCGCCTTGGAGTTGCCGGGGGGGGTGTCGCTCTCCAGGCCTTCCCTCTGTAGCCATGCATGCAGAGGTTTTGGCTGTAGTGGGTGTGGCCAGCTCTGAAGCCAGCCGGAACTCCGTTCCTGTGTGTTCCTGCCCAAAAATAGCCCTGAACAGGAGTAACAAGCTTAGTTTATATGGTCACCATTTATTTATTTATTTAGATTTGTTTAGATTTGTTTAGATTTAATTCTGGGGAGAAACATAGTGCTGCAAATAAATATATCAAAATTGGAGATTGATGTGTAAATGTACCTTCTTCATTGTGGAATGCTGAGAGTAATTAATTGAGTTGTTTAAGATTGGGGGGAGCTGTGTGTGTGTGTAAGAAAAGGCCTGCCCCTCCAGGGCTTGTGAAAGAGAACTGTAATTATTCAGTAGAGGGTGTAAGTCGTCGATGATTAATCGAACTGTTTTGAGTTGAGAGCTGTATGTGACCACTAGTGGTATTCTGTTATTGTCTCTTTTGGGCTTGTCTTGCAGCAGGCTTTCTCTGGGTAACGTTCTGCCTTTGTTGATCTCTTCCTTGGCTTCATCAGGTGGATACTTTAGTGCTAAAAATGTTTGCTGTAGATCCCTTAGGTGAGAATCTCAGTCTGTAATGTAATCTGGAATGGTCGATTGGAGTGTGTTCCCCTGGTCCGGGGACAGAGGAGATACACAATGCACAGCCAATCACCCCACCTCAAAGAAAAGGGTGCTGTAAAGTTACCCCCACTCTTGAGAGATGACTAGAGCATGACAACAGGGCCTCAGTGAATTACTCTTAGCATTCCACAACTAAGAAGGATATGTCTACCCATCTATCTCTGAATTTGATACATTTATTTCCTTCACTATGTTTTCCCATGGAATTAAACCCAAACAAGTGGTCACCATATAAACCAAGCTTGTTATTCCAGTTTGGTCCCTGCATCTGTTAAACATAATTTATTATGCTTTATTATGCTTATGCTAATTTGCTGCTCACCCCCTACCTATATGTATGGACTGGTAACTTCCATTTCACTGTATCTGAAGAAGCGCACTTGCACATGACAGCTTATACCTTGAATAAAAATTGGTCTTAAGGGTGCCCCTGGACTCAAACTTTGTCCTGCTGCTTCAGACCAACACGGCTGCCCGCCTGAATATATCTTCAGGGGAAAATTATGTGTGTATTAAGATACTTATACCCCAGCTGGAACCCCAAACAGCTCACACCTACATTCTTCTCTCCTCCATTTTATCCTCACACCAACCACCCTCTGAGGTAGGCCAGACCAAGATAAAGTGACTGACCTAAGGTAACGCAGTGAGCTTCCGTGGCAGGGTGGGGATTTGAACTTGGAGCTCTCAAAAAATTTATTGGACTTGTGAACACTTGTGCTGTGACAGCCACATAAGAACGTAACATAAGAACATAAGAGATGCCAATGTTGGATCAGGCCAAAGGCCCATCCAGTCCAACACTCTGTATCACACAGTGGCCAGAAATACCAGGTGCCATCAGGAGGTCCACCAGTGGGGCCAGGACATTAGAAGCCCTCCCACTGTTGACCCCCCCCAAGCACCAAGAAGACAGAGCATCACTTGCCCCAGAGCCCCTCTCTATACCTTGTGGCTAATAGCCACTGATGGACCTCTGCTCCACGTCTCAGAAATGACAGCCGTTTGATTTTGCATGCGTAGCATGAGATTGATGACGTTGTTTGTTGTGTTGTCAAGTTAAAAGTGATCTGATGGCGCTTTTCCCAAAGACACCCCTTCAGTATTTCAATTGCTGTTTTGTTAGGACAGCCCTACTGTCCCGGGGGTACTCTCAACGGGGATTTGGTGTCTCCAGCCATTCCTGAAGCAACTTTCACAGTGTCTAAGAAGCAGTCCAGGCTTGAAGAGACCCTTCCACCGACTTCCTGAGGAAAGGGAAGGATCAACTTTCTAGAAGTAATGCTATGCAAAAGCTGCTGTGGTTCTACAATCGTAGGAAGGAGTTCGTTCCCCCATCTGAAGGATTTCTCTGCACTTTATAGAATAATGTAAAAACGAAACTAATTTTGAGGTGTATTTTATCTTTGTATAGTTTGTTTGCAAGAGTATTTTCCTAAAAAAAAAGAAGAGCTTCAGTTTGTGCATTTTTGGAAGAAATGTATGGTTTAACTAAGAAGTCAGGACCCCCGGTTCAGTGTCGCTTTTTCTTTTTTACGTGCTGCGATGCTCAGACAACTTTGCAAGTTTGGAAATGCGAAACACGGCACAATTTGGGAGCGGAGAAAAATTGTGTCATCGATCCATCTGGCCACTCGATTCTGTAGCTGTGCTGGTGCAGCATCCCTTAGAGAGCTCTTTCCTCCCCTGTTGGACTCCGTGGCAAAGCGAGCATTTTTGTTCTTGTGGTTTAGGAGCGCACCGTTAATTTCAGTGGAACGCTTGCCTACGTTGAGGCTGAGGCTACATTCCTCAAGTAAAGCATGCCAGTTAGTGTATTTTCTTTTCTTTTCCAAAAGCAAGCATGTGTAAAGCGCATAGTGCACCCAAAGTCCTACGGAAACCAATGGGACCTGAGCATACTCTCTAGCCAAACTTAAGCACCTTAAAACCCCATTGGTTTCTCTGAGAAGGATTGAAACACACACACAACTTTTCCCATTGGAGTCCGTGAAGCTAGACTGTGTTTCGCTTTAGCCAGCTTGTGCTTAAATTCCATCAGAAATAGTCTTGTGGCACGTGGAAGACAAACACTTTTTTATTCTTACATAATCGTTCACAGAGCAGAGACTAAAGCTTATGCCAGAATAAAAATGTGTCCGTCTTCAAGGTGCCACCGGACTCTCTATTTATTTTTGCTGCAAAAAACTAACACGGCTTCTCCTCTGGGCTTGAATTCTTGAGTTTTGGAATTTTTTTTGCACATCTCTGGTTTGCACTTGAAATTCCGTCCTTAGTTTTTAGTCAGTCAAAATAATTCAAGATGTGCAGTATTTTTCTAAACAGACATATCTGTATACAAGGCGGTATAACCATACATGGGCGAAATAAATTTTGACATATTTGTTATAGTTCTTTTTGCACCCAAAAAAGGGCCTTCTTAACTTGTCATTACTGAACAAAGGAGAGATGTAAAAATTGTGCTTAATTGTTGCCGAGGTGTGTTGCATCACTAAATATCATTCTAGCACTCCTGCTTTGTTTTCAAGTCATTGGGTACAGTCTAGCCATGGTTATGCAATTGTAAGTCCTCTTGATTTCATTGGAAGAGTAAAGCTCATGTTTCTGCTGAACACCTCATTTAATTAAAGGGGCACAAAATGTGCTCAACTCTGGCTGGATTGTTCCCTTTCTTTACACCTAAAAGGAAAAATGTAATTGATGTGTCTTATTACCAAAGTGTTATTTTACTGCTGGTTTCTAAAATACGCTCTTACAGCTGCAGTTGTAATATATTCATATTTGCAGCAATACTTTTATTTATGACCTATTTATACCAAAGGGGAGGGGAGGGTGGCTTTTATCATTGTGAGTTCTGTATAACTTCAGAATGGCCTCTACGTGCTGCCATGTTCTCATCTCCGCTAACTGTAGCGTCAACGACAAGTTCACTTCTGATTGAGATGAGAATTACGCTTTCGACTTGAGGATGAAGTGTGTTGCTTAGCCACCGCCTGTTCGTACATTATGGGTCCAGTTCGTCAGAAACCTCTCTTGCGCAAGCCATTTTGCAGGAGCAAAAGTAAATATGCAGCAGAGGTTTGCAAAGAAGTTACTGATGAATTACGCCATGTTAGTGTTTTGCATTGTAAATTCTTTGGTTTTGTATTCACTTTGGGATAAATTTGGTATATAATGTCCTGACCATGGAGCACTTTTTAAAAAATTAAATAACATGTTTTTTTAGAAGTTACCTGTGTTCAATAAAATATTGTTTTTACACTCGGACCTACACACAGCTCTTTGTCTTTTATTCAGATCTTTTCAGAAATACATGGCCTGTCTGTCTTTGGTCAGTACAAACTGGAACCACTAAAACAGCACATCCACTCCTTGATAACTAAGGCATCAGAGGTTGCGGTCACACTGGCGACTTGGCGCAGTACGGTGGCACCTCTAATTGTACTGGTTTAAAGTGCTGTGGGGCATATCATCCATACAGCACACCCTACTGCAGGTTACACACATGGCCGTCCCATGGTCAAGCATCCACATTACTGCAGCGCCTCAGCCACAGAGTGCACTGCCCAGTCAGGTTTTTTTAAATGCAGGTCGGTGTGTGCACATATGTGCTCATGTGCTTATGCACATTTAGGCAAAATCTCAAAAAAACAAACCAACCCCAAAACCCTAGCAGCGGAAATGGATCTGCAGGTTCAGACATCCCTCCCAGGTTCCTTTCACTACAGCAGAGTTCAGACGTCGGGAAACCTGGAGGGAACCCCGAACAACCCCTTAATACCAGACTTTCCCCGGTATCTGTTTATTCCGTTTCCATTGCGGAACAGCTTGGGTTGCTGACGCCTGTCCCACGGGGGGGGGGGGAGATGTTCTCGTCTGGAGGGGCCCATTTATTCCGCTCACGTAACACTACTATAGCACCACAAACTGTACATGTGACCGCAGCCTGAATGTCCTTTGACTCACAGAAGGTCAGATAAGCCAATGCCTGAGCTCAAATTTCTCTTGAAATCCTTCAGGTCTTCTTACAGGACCCTTCCCATGTTTTCAGCTGGTGACTGTGGGAAGCTGATACCCGAAGAAGGCCTCAGTCAGTTCCCCATTGCTTGGCTTCCTAGAAGTTGTGGCCTGTAGCACAGGACAACATTGGAGCGATCAAGAGACATTCTCGTCACACTTGCACAGCTGAAGTGTTTTAAGATTAATGAGCAATAAGACTATTAGTCGTCATAATTTTATCTATTTCTGCCTTTCTTCCGAAACTTCAGGGTGGTATCCATAGAGACTGCCTGTAATCACACAGCAATTTTGTGAAGGGAGTATAACATATTGGCTTGCCCAAGGCCATCCACTGAATCTTACAAGTAAGTTATGTGAGGGCCCTGGGAAGGAGAAGGAGAGCTGCAGAGGTGTATGAGGAGGATAGATACACAGTAACGGTCAACACGGAGTAGTGCACTTTACTTGATTTTATCTCACACACAAGTCTATTTTGCAGCTTGTCTACTGACAGAATATTTGAGTTTGAAATTCCTTTTTGTGTCTTTCTTCTGTTAACCACCATCATCGAATAGAAGCCTTTGTTCTGAAATCTGCCCCACTTTTTATGTCAGATTGAGACGTTCCAGAGTGCTTGTTATCAATACTCCCTCTGAGCTGTGGAGTCTTGTGAGCAAAAATTCTCCTTTGTGAGCTACTGGCATCAAAGCCGTGAGGGCGCAATTTGGCTGCTGCATAAATTAGTTTGCTCTGGAGCCCTCCTTCCTGAGCGAAGACAAAAATGTGTGAGCTGGAGGTTAAAAAACTGTGAGCTAGCTCACACTAACTCACCTTAGAGGGAACACTGCTTGTTATCCCCAATTTGCCTTCTAAAACGAGCTGAAGTGAGCTGTGATGAAGGCCCCTCCTTTTTGTCTTAATGTGTCTATATAATATCCAGGGCTATTTTTGGACAGGAACGCACAGGAACGGAGTTCCGGCTGGCTCCCAAGTTGGCCACACCCAGCAGGAACTCATTAGCATAATAGGCCACACCCAACAGCAGGAACTCATTAGAATTGGCTACATTAGGGGTGTGTGGCCTAACATGCAAAGGAGTTCCTGCTACAAAAAAAGGCCCTGGGTTTTGACAACAAACAAGGTAAACACAATGAGAAACAAAAGGTGGGTGTGGCTGGATGACCACACTTCTGGTAACATGGGGGTGCGGCCTAATGTGCTAATGAGCGGTGCAGTCAGGGGTGTGGCCTAATATGCTAGTGAATTTTGCTGCTGGGTGTGGCCTATTATGCTAATGAGTTCCTGCTGGACTTTTTCTACAAAAAAAGCCCTGATAACATCAGCTGTATAACATACATTATGTAGATAATAATAGGTATGCCTTGATCCCTCACTTTTGATCTTCAGCAGGCAGTTGAAGACAGTTTTATCTAGGACTGCATTTGACTAATTTAGCTTTTATCCACTGGCAGGCCTAACTGAGATTGAAAGCACATTTTATTTTGGTAATAACTTGTTTTATGTACGTTGTAAGATGCCTTGAGTTGTGCAAGGTGGAAAGGCAGCTAATAAATGTTTTAACTAAATAATACGACCAAAAAATCTCTTCCATGGTATTAAAATCCCATGCTCACATTCCGTGGATCATTCTGGATACTCTCCCTCTTGGCTGTGTGGTGATCACCTCTGCTCCGTTTAGGGTTGCCAAGTCCATCTTCCACCCCAAGCGGTGGACTTTGGGGGCGTTCCTGGAGGGGGTGGGGCATCTTGACATGATGACGTCATGTTGGGGACGTCTGCCACTGCCCCCCCCGCCCTTGTGCCAGATCTCCAGAAACGGCAGTTCCCTGCACTTAAAGGAGCCGGCGTTTCCCCTTTAAGAGCAGCCGCATTTCCCTTTTAAGAGCACGAAGCTGGCGTTTCGCTGCAAGCTTGAGGAGATCCGGCTTGGGAGGAAACACGGGTTCCACACACTTAAAGGGAGAGAGATGGGTGGCTGTGGGTGTTGGGGGTGGGGCTTCCCCCGCTGGCCATCTGGCCGGGGGCGGGTAGAACCCCCCCAAAAACGGGGGACCCCTGGCAAACCGGGGGGGGGTTGGCAACCCTATCTCCGTTTCAGAATTCACCACAGACCTTTTCTTCAGTCTTTTGAACGCCATTTTACCCACCCTCTTTTTTTCATTCGGATGCCCTCCTTACTGCTTTTCTGTAAACCACCAAATAAGCCTGTTTGTTTAGTTGGCATACCGCTG